AAGAAGGTTCCGGGCGGTACTCTTCTCAGAAGTCGTTACCAACTCCCGACGAAGTTGGCTGGCTAAACGGTGTAATTTGCATTACGATGAACTATTTAAGCAAACGGTGGATAGGAGACGGTGTTGTCGAGACAGAAATTTGCATCGGCATCGGGCAAACATTCTTTTTATATCTCGGGAACGAGGAGAAGAAGAGAACTCGGTATAATTTGCAGAGTAAACGGCACTGGAGAGAGAGAGAGAGTCTTGGGGATTTCAAGAAAACCGTACGACTCTCTTGACGACCTACTCGACTTCTCGCAATCGGTAAAGCTGCCTAAGGTCATTGTCTCGAAGGGGTTGGTCGTGGACAAGGATCCAGGGTTACCCTTGAAAGAGCGCGTTATGCGTGGACGAACGTAAGTTTGTCGGCTGTTTTCATTGAGTCGCGACGAACCCTGGCCGGGGTTGTTACGTAAGGCTTCGTATTATGCGAAGGAGACCTTGCCTTCCATCGGTTGTAGATTACGTCACCGGCACACTGTATCGCGATGCACCAACTACTGCTGCTTCCAGCATGACGCCGCGGTGGCAGCCGTTAGTCTCGCGAATTACGTCTCGTACGCGCATTTGCCTTTTTTCTTCGCGCCAGTCCGCCGTTCTCCACTCCGCTTCAACATCTGCTTCCTACGTCTCTCGCCATGGAACACGTTTCGTAGAGCGACGTTCCAGTCGACTCGCCGGAGGGATCTCTGTGGGAACTCACGACATGCTGAATCGCGTAAGAAATCGCCTTTAATCTTCTCTCCGTGATCAGCGATCGCTCGATCTTTCGGCAAAGCGCAACGTCTCGTTTGCAGAGGAACCTGTCTCGAGCCGTAACGAAACTATTATATTGTCCGTGAAATTATAATTACGCGAACGAGTGGTGCGGCAAAAAAGGGTAAGAGTGATACCGGGGCGTGAACGGATAAAGAGGCGTGGAGGAGAAGGTGACCAAAAGGGCGACAGGAACGTTTAGGGTCTCCTCCTTACCGTTGCAGAGTAGCATCGATAATAATCAGGTTTGGTAAACGAAGGAGGCGCGTAAGAAGAGGGAGAGGGTGGGCTGTGCGAACGTTTTGGCGAAGGAGAAGGAAGCCGGTTCGCGGAGGTCCGTATTTGGCTTGTGCCCACGTAGCAGCTCGTACGCGCGCGACGGCTCTGCACAGCGGACCGTGCGTTTCTGCATTCTTCTCATTGTATCGACCGGCAAAACGTTCCTCGAGCCTCTCATTATCTCGGTCAGTGCACACCGCGACGTAACAGATAGTTCTAGCATCCCCCTCGTTTCTATCCAGCTTGACAGTTTCTGCATCTTTGATCGGCTATCGATTACACCCGATCCCCTTGCCAACCGAACGTTTTTCGGATCACCGAGCCTCGTCTTCCACCCCCTTTCCCGATCGCGCTTCAAAAGAAATTTCGATAAACGCCGTTTTTCGCGCTCCACGAATTTACCTTTCTCCACTCTATTTCACCTTCACATGGTCAAAGATAGGTACACGTTTTCCAAACTGTTTTTTCACGATTCTCCTCGAGGAACGTAAACGCTCCGATGGAATTAATTACCGGTAGATCCAGTACCGAGCATACACTCCGAATAAAGACCGGCTGCGTTTGCATACGCAGTTCAGAGTAAGTCCCTCGATTACGACTTATTTAATCGTCGTCCTTGCGCGATGCCGCATTTTGCAACGGACTCGAGTGCAACCTACATTCTCGAACAAAGCAGCGCGCGCTTAACCAAACAGGAAATCTCGATCTCGCTATTTACTTTGCGGAACTCTGGAAAGATCCACCGTCTGCACGATGCAGGCTCGCGATGCAAATCGCGGGACTCAACACCATGGAAAAATTAACGGTGCGAAGCTCCTCGACGAGAATTTCCCTTTCGTTGGACGAAAAGATGGCCGTGGGGATAGAGGGTTTTCTGCGGTAGGCAGGAGGAGGAGGAAACGCGCAAAAAGTTAGTTAACGTGACTCTCGGTGGTTCTCGCGCAAGGACGCCGGCTGTGTATCATCGCTAAAAGCGTCGCAACCGGTTCCAGTAGGAGCCACGCGTTCTTCGATTGTTAATCGAGCAGGGCAGATAAGAAACTCCCTCTGCAACGAACGCTCTCGATATCGTCGACCGTGATATCCGGTCAGCGAGCGACCAACCACCACCACCGGATGCATCTTCGAACGTCACGCAGACATCGAGAGCTGATCGTTTTGTCGAATCGACACTGCTGCTGATCTATACAGATAGGAGAATAGATACGAGCGTGCAAACTTTACGACTTGCTGCACTCTATTGTCAAGGTGAAAAATTACGTTACGAGGTAGTATCGGAGGGAGGGACCGGATATTAGAGACCTGCTTCACGACTTTCGACGATGAGAAACGACGACAGCTGATCGAAATGGCGAAATTTACAGCGAACACCGACATCCTTGGACGGTCCGGTGGCCGTTTTATGGCATCTGTGTGCACAGCCGGTCTCCGTGGCGCGGCGCGGCGCGAATGCACCTTACTTACGACACCCGTGCGCGTTTTCCAACGCGTGTTCCGCGAAACGTTGCGAAATCTTCCGTCCGACGACCATAGATGTACGTATGCACAGAAATCCATGGCACGCGCGTTCGTGCCCACATCCGGCGTGTTACGATTTCAACCGTTCGCAAACATCTCGAGACCGGGTGTAGGTCGATACCATTAACGCGCTCGTTTTCGAACCGATCTCTTCGTATGCGCAGCGTCGTCGCTGTTTTACCCCCTTTTTCCCTCGAAACGGGCTTTGTCGTACTTGTACATAGAGATAGCTGTCTCTCGGCCTTGTTCGCCAACTTTCCGTTCAAGGTCTCTCTCTCTCCCTCCCCCTCGCTGTATCGCGCTATATGCGCGGATCTCATTGTTCCCTTCTGAATTGTTCTCTCTCTTTCGAGAGAGAGAGAGAGAGAGAGAGAGAGAGAGAGAGAGATAGAAATTGGTCGTGGGCTATTAAGCAATTTAGTGGCTCGGATACGCTACCGGTCGAGGGAAGGCAATTGATCGAGAGAAAGTTAGAGCTCGTAGATTGGCTAGTTATAAAAGATCAAGGAGGTCCTCTGTACCGTAATTGCTGGCTTGCTCCTGATTCTCCAATTCAATCGTTTCGATAGAAAAGTTTGAAAATTTTCCAAAGATCGTTGGGTCTCGTCGAGATGTCGTTATGTCGGCGATAACGACTAGAGAGTCTGTTAAATCACGGGGAACGTGTAGTCAGGTTTTCATCCACTCTTTACGGCGACACCGTTCCTCGTTTAATCGCAGGCCACAGTCTTCCCTTTCTACCTGTCATTTACACGCGGTTTTCTCTGGTCATTGTGGCGATCGATCAGCTGCTCGTTCATAGATGGAAGGTTTCACCCCGCGAGAAATTATCCATACTTTCTTCCACGTCCAAGTCGATTCTCGTCGCGTATCGCTCGCCTCTCCAAAGACGTCGCTCTGCCCGTAACGAGCTGAATCACCTGGGAAGAGTAACGATTCTTCGAATAAATCTCTGCGGATAATATCGTCGAGACGGCCGCACGGAGAAGTAATCTAGTCCCCTGTGTAGCGAATCAATGTCGTAGATACTCGAGGTCTGCCCACGCCGATCTCGATTCTCCGCGGACCATATACAAGTCGCATAACTTCCGCCGATCTCGACTACAGGACGATCGCCTCGAGCCGCCGTTATGACGCAATACCTGCCTCTAAATCATCCATTTTTCCTTTCCACCGTTCGATTTACGATCGTAAGAGCCGGTGCAGCGGAAAAGGAAGCAGGTTTTCCTGCGAGGTAAATCGAAGACGTGGGCAAAGTAGCTCTTTAAATCATAGCGGGGAATCGCTGTTAATTACACAGTGACGAGCAGCAAGAAAATCAAGTCAGCGTCGGAGATAAATTCGCGATGATGCAACCGGGTGATGGATGAACGATGATTCGATTACCGGTCGTCGAATTTCGCATAAAATACGAAACGTTTAATTGGCAGCTCGTCTTCGCGGCGATTCTAAAGAAAATTGGATCGGACGATCGATGAAAGTTGCAGGGAGAGCGCAAGTGTCTTTCCATCTTAGCTCGAAGGAAGATCGCTGGAAGTGTCGGCCTTTCGAGGTTGCGCAGACATCTCTCTGCTTTCTAGCCACCGCGATGATTATCTCTGTGCGATAATCGAGCGATTTACATAGGCGATGACTGACGAATTTCTTGCCCGAATAGCGCTCGCTTTCAAGTTGAAGGATCAAACTACTGCCTCCTTGGTCTCTTAACGGGGACTCGTTAAACGTTGACGACTCACTGGAAAAACCGCGAGCGTAGAAGTAATTCCATGCGCGACGATGAATCTCGTTCGAAAGAACGACGGTGCTTATTACTCTGGCAAGTTAAAAAAAAAAAGAACGGAAATTCACAAGCTCTTCTTCGTCTCTTCTCGTTTCTCCCGTATCCACGCCGGGGGAATTGGCCATGGTTCGATCGAACGCTCGATAAATAGAGGTACTGTACTCCTCGGTTGATACTCCGTGTGTCACGCCGCGTTTCTCGTCTTTCGCACGATTTTCACGCGGCCTGAAAACCGCCTCGAGAGAGGGACTCGCGAACCATTGTTCTCCGACTTGCCGATGCACATTACCGTCTACCAGCTGATTCTGATTATCTCGTTCTTTGGGAATACCTCCCGTTAATGAGATTCGTCCCGAGGATTCCGGACTGTCGAGAAACGATTAGACACAGCCGTTATATCCACCGTGTGTGGATCTGTGTCGGACGAGCGATCAGAGTGTTTAACGGGGATGACGCTAATCTTCTCGGCTTTGAAATACGTTAGCGTTAATTCCTCGTCTTACCTCATCGAGTCACACACACACACACACACACACACACACCTACTCTCGACGAGGATATTAGTTGAAATACGGCAAAGTCGACGAGTTGCAATTTTGCAATATAATTTTGGAATTTGTTTCAGATCAAGCTGGAACGTGTGCTCGGCGTAACCGTGTCGAGCAATGCAGCCCTGGACTGCGACGCAACCAGCGAGCTGGTCGCCTATCCTGCTGGGTGAGTCCTCCAGACCAGACCGGTCTCTTCATTTTCTTTGATCGATCCAGTCCCCTTGCTCTCGCGTCTACCCTTTCCAGTCGCATTTTTCACCGATTTCACGCTGCCAATCCACCTTTCCCTCTCACCGTGGTTATTTTAATCGCAACGTAGCTATTTATCCACACTCTGGATATACGGTCGAAAGAAGTTCTCTCGCCGTACTCGAGTTTGGCCGTATAGCGTGCAAAGTTCAGGGTAAAGTTGCGACGAAAAGGTCGCGGTTTCGAAATGACTTCCTAACCTTTCCCCCATATCTCCGGTTAACGAGAGACGCGCGCAATTAAGAATGCGCACGTCACGCTAGGCGAAATGAAATCCGGCAAAGTTGCGTTAATTTCCATTGGAAACGCGATGCTCGGCACCGTTTCCACGTGAAACGTCGATTTGATTCGCTCGCGTCGTTGCTCCCGGCGATCCGCTCCGAAATCATTCGCCGATAATCACCGGTATCGATCGTTGAATTAAAGTAATCGCGGCGAGTTAAAGAGCCGCAAAAACGGGGCAAAAAGGAGAGTGGCGCTCGTTAACGCTACTCTACCTTAGCTTAGACAGCAATTGCCGAACGTTTTTCTTCGAATTTATTTTTGCGCGTCGAAGTTCACTCGCGCGAGGAGAATATCGCGATAAAAAGGGAGAATTCGTCGGGTTGAACGGTACACGCGCGAGCGCAAAGCTAGGAGATCTCTGTGCGACATCGTAATTGGACTAGAGAAAGAAGAGACCTAGGTGGAGGGAATTAACGACACGAATCGTATTACAAATCCGGCGACTTAAAGGCCGGCCGATATTCGTGGGAACGGCCACGGGAAGAAAGAGAAAGAGAGGAGAGACTTTGCATAACGTGGTACAGGGATTATCTCTATCGGATCGCGATATTTCGATAAAGATGCTCGGCGGTCGCTGCTGCGAGCTTGCGAAACGCGATTGGCTTGGTCGCGCGCGTGACCCACATACACCACCTCGGTTCCTCTGTTTCAACTTTTCACTTTTCCAATTTCAAACGTTCGCTAATTTTCCTCAGAACCAGTTTATTCCGAACCTTGAACCATCGTGTACAACACGATACACCACCGCTGCGTACCATTTCGTACACGTACTCGATTCGCTTTCGATTTTCATTCCCAAGGCGTTCTTAAATGCCCACAAAATCCCCAGAGTAGCGACCGTGAAAGAAGAAGGAGCGAGCGCGATTCGTTTGGTCACGGGTAAACGTGTGGAGTGGAGAAAAGAAGGCTCGTTTCTCGTTGGGCCGCGTGAATGGAAGAATGGCGAAAGTGCGATCGGGAGATTACGCGGCAGCGAATTTTGCGCGGCGCGATTCACGTGTCCCCGCCTCGAAATTCACCTCGCATTGTTTCATCTCGTTTTCTAAACATTGCCCCAGGAAACGATCCTATCTGAGTGTATTCGCGTACTCGTTAGCTGGTTTGTCGCTAATTACACTTCCGATAGGACGTGCAATCGAGTGTTCCTCCGACCGAAAATTCTCGGTGTTCGCACGCGCCACTTAAGCGGCTTAAATCGAGTGCGCGCGCTATCGTGCCGGACAACGATACGGCGTCGAATGGAAGCAAGCAAGTACGGCACTGGGACGGAAATGGGGTCAAGAGAGAGGTGAATGGACCAAAAGCTTCTGTGTCGGAGATCCGCATGGTGTCCGGTGATACGTATCGGCGACAATTAAATCGTTCGATCGACCTGGCAACCTCTCTGCGTCTGCACTTTTCGAGCCTCCAGCATTCCCAGATTTCATCGCTGACACTCGACAAACCGGTTTTAAAAACTCTCCACTCCCGTTTCATTGTCGTGTCGCGATTATCAATGGACGTTGAGCAATATCTCCAGCCGATTCTTCCTTCGTTAACGCTCGTTCGGTGCGTTCTTACACCGACACACCGGGGAAATGACGATTTTTCACGTAGCCACGTAATGGAGCGTAATTAATTGGAGGGCAACATCTAACTATATACGTTACCTACCTCCGCGTGAACAAAACCTCCCCGGATCGAAGGTGGCTTATCGTTCAGGTGGTTGCTTCGACGCCGATCTTATGTCATCGCGGTTACGAATTAGGATTCCCTGGAACGAATCGATCCGCTTTACCGTAATCGAGATACAGCTTCTCCTAATTCGGATCAGATCATCGGTTACAGAACGATCCAAATTACACGGATTAATTCTTTCTTCCCTCCGCCATTTATCGCGCGAGATAAAAGGAACTGGCAGAGAAAGGTTGATTTGTCTTTACGACCTTGAGCGTAGAGAGATATCGATAGATCGGAACGATCACGAGGAGACGTCGTCGAGAGCGCTGTAGCAAGGTTAGAAAGTGCTTGACATTGCGTGTGTTATGTTACGAGGAACGGAGGAAAGTTCCGCTTTCCCGGCTTCTCGATCTACTCTGTTTCCCAGTCCCAGAGATACTCTCCTACGAGCTTAATCGACAGAGGCGATAAAGCAATAAACACGAGCGAGTCGATTAGTTTTGCCGGGAGAAAATCACGTGCGCAAAGAAAAGTAATTATCATTCTCCTCGTAAATTTCACCTCTGCTACGTATGTACCCAGGTTAAATTATAGTCCGATCGTGTGTAATCAATATTGTATCTCCTATGCACTTTTACCGTTTTCTCTTTCCGTTACTGTCGTTTTTCCTACCCTGTTTATCGTCACCAGCAGCTGCTAATCGATCCTCGTGAAACTTGAATTAAACGTGTCCGAGGAAACTTTTCAACTTGACAAATCTTCGACAACTTTCTCGAGAGTGTCGCAAGGAGGAGATACTTGCGAACTTTGGAGACTGGGCGCATCGCTAAACGAAAACTGTCGGATGTCGAAATAACGTAGCTGCCGCCTCGAGTGAACGTCGTTAGAGACGGAGAGTTGACCGTGTGTCGAATCGAATCCGTCCCTTACCAGGCTGCAGCAATGTTGCTCTTGGTCGTTGCTACGGATAATTCGATTCGTCTCGGCTTTTTCTCCCGTACGTGAGCAGCAACCTTCTTAGAAAGTAGAAAACGAAACGGGCAGGGGGTGTGCTTGCACAGCCATGTCTACGGTTTTATGGAACCGTAATAGTGACCGGTGTAAAGTCTCGGCGAGTATAATCGTGCAACGAGTTAATTGGTTCGAAAGAGCTTTTTAGCAGCGTGCTACTTCACGAAGGTAGGGTAATCTAAATTCGCGGCATGTATCCTGCACGGATCGGAATCGATTCGATCGTTACGGAGGCCTTGGAGCGTTTCATTTCACGCTAATTATACGATGCTCTCTCGAACGTTTTCCCATCCGCGTGTGCCAAACTCCGAGATTGAACTTTTTCTCCAAGGCCACGAGCTTGGATATCCAGGTCGCCGTTTTCCATGCCGCATCTTTGCTCCTTTCGGAAAGTTTCCACCTGCTACGAGAGAGTGTGCATCCGCATTTGCATCGTACGATCCCGGTGGATGTTCGTGTGGATTTTTCAACCACGACTACACGCGGACGGTATTTGGTTGGCTGGAGGGAAGGAAAGTGGGTCCGTGATTGCGAGGAGCACTCTCCGCGAAGAAACTCTCCTATATACGTGCATAATAGTAATTAGGTGGAGCGGCGAAGGACTTGCTCCGCTCGTCTCTCATCGCCGCGCGTGTCCTCGTGTTCCGGCAACACGCTGCCGGAATTTACGACCGCGGGGGACAATCCTTTCCGGCTGGCGAGCAAACGTGTTACGCGTTCGAACGGGCTGAGCAAGAAAACGAGAGTTTCTACTTCTTTCTGCGAGTACACCTGCAATTAGAATAGACAGCACCTTCTCCACCATCCTGCGACTACTCTGCGCCGTCCAACTCTGCGCAGCGGATGAATTTGGTACTGGTCGGAAGGTGGTTGAAACAGAGGGAAACGAGTCCCGTTGGTCAGCGGAGCGTATATCGTGACCGGTCGGTGTCGTCGAGATAGGAAAGAACGATCGACCGTTCTAAATCAGCCGGCTCCATCGGCCAACTTATTAGACACGCCGTCGACCGGTTTCCATGCTCGATAATCGACCCAGTGACCTTTATACCGGCGACCTTACGTGCTCTCCTCTGCACGCAACCCGCGGCTAGAAATTACAGCCACGGGCTTCCTGGTGCATTGCTCGGGCTCTTGCTGCGTATACTTGTGAACGTCGCGTCGCCTTAACACGGGGAGAAAATATCTCTTTTCTGCAATTGTACGTGCGTTTACTCGGATCGAGACTGCTAGAAAATATGGCGCAAGGAGAAAGTCTCGCGCAAAGAAACAAACGCTCGACGGGGATTGGATCGCGAAGCGAAAAGGTGGAGGGAAATGATTTGGTTTGAAAAAGCGGAAGACCGTTGATAAAATTGCAAGATCACAATTCGATCGCAAGATCGAATTGTTTCTTCCGCTGCGTTCCTGAGGTATTAAAGTTCAGGTTCTAGGACACCCCTGTAAAAACGATAATTTCTATATTTGCCATTCACTTTGGCGAACCGGAATATATTAGCCCACTTATACACAGCCGTATCGAGTATTCTCCTTTCTCTTGATAATGCGGAATAAATGGAGGATTCCTCCGCGGGACATTCGCCAGGTTATCCTCCGGAGACGTCCAAGGTCGTCGAACACCTTCGTTTTTACCATCTCTCGACTCGAACGTGGTATCCAAGTTGGATTCGCGTGCCTGTAGCTCGTGGCCAGCGTCTATATGCTGTTAGCTCGAGTAGGTCGTAGGTACATATATACGGTGAGCGTGGCTCCTTCGCAACTTCACACGGCCTCGTCGCGTCGACGTGTCTCCCTACTCGTAGCGGGCGAGAGAGGTCTCCGGCACTCGACGCGGAAAAAAGGCTCAAGCCACGTTCGCAGGCCAGTTTCGATCCTCCTCTAACCCCCTCGAACAACGAATCACCCATGTAATTGCGTTTCGCACCGCGAGCCTTACGCCGCTTGCTTACACGTTCTCAAAGGTGTCTCTACCGTTGCTTGTTGAATTAGAAGCGCGCAACTTCCTTGCCTTGGAGCAGATCCTTAGCGAAGGAAGGTTCAAACGTGTAAGGTGCAGGAAAAGTGGATTTCGAGGTTAATCGAATGAAAAGTCGGCGCGTTCGAAAAGGAAGGAAAAGAAAGAAAGGACTTGGAAAGGATTTCTCTGTACGATTTCCACGTGTTCGTAGTCGAGCGCGATTCGAATTCAGGCTCGAGACGCGTTCCCACGCGAACTTTTCAGCCGAGCAAAAGTAGACCGCTCGCTCGCTCCTATGCGACCGAGCCACGACTAACTAGGGACACGGTTCGCCAATCGAACATTCTAATTTCGGTGAAATCCTCTATTCAAGGCGACTCTCGATCGATACCGACACCGGTACAGGGGCGGTGATTGCTCGCGAAACGAACAGCGCTTCACCGGTTACGATCATCCGGCCGTCCGTTACGGCAGCAAAACGTACACAGCGCGCAGAGAACGCGGAGCAGGAAGGTGTTTAACCGGCATACTCGTTTTGGCGAACTGAAAGCGAAGCGAGCGGAAGCGCACGGACGTACATGGCCGGGCGATGCTCGCGCTCCACAGCTCGACAATTCCATTTGCAAACGGAAGCGAGCACAAGCCCGTCCGTCGGCGTCTCCATGCCAGACGCACGCTCGCTCCATCTCCAAAGGAGTTCTCTCGCCGTGCCGGTCTTACAGCCGAAGAGAGAACCAGAACCAGGCCTATCCTTTGTTCCACATCGCGATCTTTTCCCTTCCACCGATGAATCATTCGCGTGTGCGCGCAACTCTTGCCTCTCGTCTCGCGACACTCGTCTTCTAGTAACACGAATTTCGACCTCTCGCAGTATCGTACCGTACATTTACCGCCGAACGATAACGAAATCGTACTCTCTCCGAAATTCACACACTCCGCCACGTCGAAGACGATTAGCCACTGCTAATCTGTGGACGAAAGAGCCGCGTCGCAGTCTGCCAGTCGTCTAGATTCAATCCGTTCGACCGTGTCAATAAACTCGCTTCCTATCCGCTCGATAGTCCGTTTTCCACAGCATCTGAGACTCGAGGGTCTCCTTCGACGCTGCCGCTTCGACCCTACCGGCCAGGTGTTGTCCGCCTTTGCGATGGAAACGTCTAACTCGAAGACGACGAGGGGCCGACTTGGATCGTGACTTTTTGCCACGCTCCAAACTGTTACAGGGGACGACTAGAAAGTAGCACATATTTTTAGCAGCGTAAAAACCTCGGGGATCGGAGTTGCGGCGAGATTGCGTTTTGCTAACGTAACGTCGGGACAAATGGTAGCACGCCCGCCGAGCGATTGAGTTTATTGACACGGTTTGCGGTTTAGGTAGGCAGACGAATAAATCGGCTTGGTGGACAACGAGATGCAACGAGCCGCACGAGTCGCGTTTCATATTACCGCGAACACAGCGTGCCTCGAATCTTTACACTTGCCCAGTGGTGCTCATTAGTCCTGTACGTTAACGTTACCAGCACCTTTTCACACTCTCCTCTCGAATCCAGACGTTGCATTTCCAACACGATCGAGTCGCGATCGCCTTGAGAACGAAGAACGTGAATTAACAAAATCGTAAGGGTTGCGCGAGTGTCACTGGGCTGAAACCGCGCGTGTAAATTTCCATTGCGTTATCAAATGGACCAAGAGACGCGTAACGGCGTGCTCGAACACTTGCGAGCAAGCGTGACTAATTCACCTGGCGGCGCGGGATGGTCGTCGGTGGAACCCTCGGAAAACGCATGAAAATCCAATTGATTTCGATCGAACGGAATTTCGTAATACTCTGCTGCACGCGGAGACAAATTGTCGGGAATAAAGTGTGTTGTAATTAATTGGCCGTTCTCGTGGAACGCGAACGGCGTTATCCAAAAGGAATTGGTTAATAAACGAGTTAGCAACTGCAATTACTGCGTCGAATTCAGTGCCCGCAATTACTCGCTTATACTTCGCTTTCACCGGCATGGCAGCCGGCAGATCGGAGATTCAGTTATCGTTCGTTCCCCCGAAGGAACTCCAATTTCGTCTGTCACGCTGTTCGCCTTTACGATCCATAATTAACGTCTCGATAACGATCAGACGGCTGGATGTCGCGCGTTATCGCGGCTAAGGGTTACCCGAAACAGCCGATACTTTGCCAAAATTCGGATAAAGTTACGCGTCAGACGACTTAACGGAAAGTTGCACTCTGCAACGTCTAAAGTTTCTTTCCCGCCTGCTTAGACGAAACGATACACTCGCGGATGGTTAATATCGTCGGTGGTCTGATAGCCATTATCGCGGAAAATTAGAGGCAACCGCTATACCTGAATCGACTCATTTCTCCCACTTCCTCATCCTTGGACGTTCCAAGTGTCGGAGTATACGTACATGTATGTATGTGTTACACCCGTTACAAAACGGTGTCGCGGCTCGTCTGGTATCGTGCTCGAGCACCGTGACGAAGCACCGTAGAACGACCACGGAGAAAGCCATAATCTTATCGGCAACGAACCCGCGAAAAAATTTGGAAAAAGTATACGAGCATGGGCCAGGAATTCCCATCTGTATCTCTCTCCGCGTGTATTTTACCGGTACGCAACTACGGAGGTCTCTCCTAGAATAATTGGTTTTATCGTCTCGGCAAAAACCAACCATTTCCTCTCGTCAATTTTTCTCTCTCTGTTTCACAGCTGCACCGTGGTGTTGTTCAACCCACGGAAGAACACCCAGGCCCACGTGTTGAACGCTTGCCGCAAAACGGTCACATCTCTAGCGCTAGCAGGAGATGGAAGATTTCTGGCGACTGGCGAGTGCGGTCACATGCCCAACGTTCGCGTATGGGACATCTCCGACCCGTACAACGCCGTGCAGATCGCCGAATTTTCCGGGCACAAATACGGCATCAACTGTGTGGTAAGTGTCAAGTGAGCCTGTTTGAGATAGACGAACGATCGGGGAGAAGAGTTTGCTGCAACGAGATTAGAAACCATTCGCTATATGTACGGATGTTACGTATGGAGGGAACGGCTGGGCTGGCGTCGCGCCGTACTCACGTAGACACTGAACGCGAGAAGACTCGGCTTCCCGTTTAATAGCTTGAAATTTAATTGGACGAATCTGCATCGGAGCATCGTGCAACCGTGGTATATTTCCACTGCTGCTGCGTATCCAGTTCGATATCTCCCTGCTTATCCTGAGATCGATGAAAAGTTGGAGGGTTGTAGCAATCATCGGCGATAGGGGGAGGGGGGGAGGGGGCGAAATGGTAGCACGTTTTTCGAGAAAGTAACCGTTTAATCCTAGAGCGACTTTTGTTAGGAATTTCATTTGGAGGGGTCGGCTTTATTCGACTCCTCCGCGCGAAATTACTTTCCGCAAAGACGCCGGGAGCTTTTCAAGTCCCGTTGCGGCGACGAATACCGAGGGCGCGCCGCGTACTGTTGAATGTGCACAATGAAAAAAGGGGGCCGCGACCTTACGCCATTTTTCTCGCATGTTAATTAAGATCCTCGGCTTTTATTCGCCGGTACACACCTCGGTCAAAGCTGCGGCCGTCCTCCGACCGAATATCTCACTCTCTTTGTCGCGAGAACGTTCGCAAATACAAGGTCGTAATTACAACGGTCGAAATTTCTGTTTCTGTGTCAACCGCGATTTCTGTGTGCAACGATTCTGTCGCGATGAAAAGAAGCAGTTGCAAAGGGTGACGCGTTTCGTGGTAGAAGGAGCGTCGCATTCCCGCCACGTGCATCCACGTACACGGCGTAGGGCGTCGTCGCCAGGCAGAGAGTACGTGAATACGAAATCGCGTTCTCAGCCAACGGACAACGGTACTCTTTTTATTGTTCCTCTGCATCATTCCCTCGATACACCTCGGGTACAATGATCCTTCCCCTCGCCCAACCAACCTCTCTCCTCCTCGGACGTTTTTCTTTCGAACGATTTCTCCTCTCCTTCGATCGATCATAGTCTGAGACAAACGAGAGAACATTCCGCTACAAGGGTCCCCCTTTTTCCTCTTTTCCTCTTTTTCTCAAGGCGTTTTCACCGAGTAACAAGTACGTGGTGTCCGTGGGCTCTCAACACGATATGATCGTCAACGTCTGGGACTGGAGGAACAATGTTAAGGTGGCGTCGAACAAAGTCTCGAGCAAAGTGAAGGCCGTCTGCTTCGCGGAAAACGGCAATTACTTCGTTACCGTCGGCAACAGACACGTCAAGTTTTGGTATCTCGAGTATTCGCGCAGTGCCAAGGTAAGTCTGCTCGATTGTTTTCTCCGTGCGTCTTTCCTTGCTCGCCGTGTACCCCGAGTTATACCGGAGAAAAGATTGCGTCTAGGTAAAAAGGCACGCAAGGGGTGGGCGAGAGAGAGAGAGAGTATAGAGGCTTGTGTTTGTAACGGTAACGGTAAGGGGAAATGTGGTGATAGTGGGAATTTGGTTGCACAGTATAAGGAACCTGTGCCTTTGATGGGTCGGTCTGCCATATTAGGCGAGCAGAGAAACAACGATTTCGTGGACGTAGCCTGCGGCCGTGGGGAAATGGCAGATTCCACGTACGCGATCACCAAAACGGGTCTTCTATGCGAATTTAATAACAGGAGGCTGTTGGATAAATGGGTGGAGCTTCGTGTAAGTACTTTTGCCTGTAATAGCTGTACCGGGTACTATGTTTAAGGCCGTTACGTGGCCGTGAGCCGGCCGGTGTACGGTGTATTTCGATATTATCGTCGAAGAATTCATTTTAACGCGGTTCTTCACATGCCAGTTGTCCTTTGAAATTCTCGCGAGAATATATTTTGCCTGTAAATCTCGAATCCGTTCCTCGTTTCAAGGAGTGGCTGTTTTCAGACGACCAGTGCCAATTGCATGGCCGTTGGAGATAAATACATTTTCATCGGGTGCGCGGAGGGAATCGTGAGGTGCTTTAGTCCTACTACGCTTCAGTTTATCACCACGTTGCCGAGGACGCATTACCTTGGCGTGGACGTTGCTCAGGGATTGTCCATTAGGTACACGCGTAAAACGTAACACTTTGTTCGTTAAACACGTCCAGCAGACTGTCCTCGATCCCCTTCAATCTCTCCCTCCATCTGTCTATTACAGTCACATGTCTCAGCATCCAGCAAACGCGAGGTATCCAGACGCGATAGCTTTAGCTTTCGACGAGCGAAACAACAAGCTAACCTGCGTCTACAACGACCACAGCATTTACGTTTGGGACGTGCGAGACATCAGGCGAGTGGGCAAGTCGCATTCGTTCCTCTATCATTCGGCCTGTATTTGGGGTGTCGAGATGTACCCCACGGGATCCGACTCCATGGCAGCTATGCCTGTTGGCAGCTTCATCACCTGCTCCAGCGACGACACGATCCGCGTGTGGAACCTCGAGAAGGACATCTCGCCCAACGACACGCTCTACAAAAGGAACATCTACAGCAACGAATTGCTCAAGGTCCTCTACATAGATCCAGAGTTGACGTACTTGAAGGACTTGGATTTAGCTGCGGCCGGATCGACGGAGAAGAGCGACGCCTCGTACGACGGTCGAAACGGAGTGAGATCGATCAGGGTCAGCCCTGATGGGAAACACTTGGCGTCCGGAGATCGCTCGGGAAACATTCGTATTCACGATCTCTCCTCCTTGGAGGAATTATGCCTAATAGAGGCGCACGACGCGGAAGTGCTTTGCCTCGAGTACTCAAAGTTCTCCCGGTACTCGGCCGAGCCACCCAGGCTGCTGGCCAGCGCCTCCAGGGATAGACTGATTCACGTGTTCAGCGTCGATCAAGGCTACAACTTTTTACAAACGCTCGACGATCACAGTTCTTCCATCACCGCTGTCAGATTCTTCAATCAGAGCAACCAGAGTAATCAGATACAGATGGTGTCTTGCGGTGCCGATAAGAGTATTATTTTTAGACAGTTGCAATCGGTGAGTGGCTCGATTGTTCTCCGTCTCTTGTGTGATCGATCGAAATTCAAGCTTGATCTGTGTTTCAGACACCAGGAGGAATGCCCCAGTTCGCCAGGGGTCACAACGCTCAGGGGAAGACCACTTTGTACGACATGGAGGTCGATTCCGGGCAAAAGCACGTTCTAACTGCCTGCCAAGATAGAAATATAAGGGTTTACAACGTGGCCACGGGTAAACATAGCAAAACGTTCAAGGGTTCCGTCGGCGAAGATGGATCGCTCATCAAAGTCGTTCTAGGTGAGTTCAAACTCAACTTATCCCCTACGATTCTCCTTTTTCCCCGCAGGTACTCGAACAACTTGGCTATTTTTCAGACGCATCGGGAATCTACGTAGCTACCTCTTGTACAGATAAGACGTTGTGCGTGTACGACTACTACAGCGGTGAATGTATGGCCACCATGCTGGGTCACTCGGAATTGGTGACAGGCTTGCGTTTTAGTCCTGACTGTCGCAACCTCGTGTCCGCCAGCGGTGACGGTTGTATATTCGTCTGGCGTGTTCCACGCGACATGGTTGTCACCATGCAGGCGCGTCTCGCTCAGCAAGCGATGCGAGCCGGAAAGTAAGATTATCTTTTAATTTCACGTAGACGAGGAGCGAGTTGTTTCTATGTATATGCGAACGAAAATTGTGTTTAAAGGAGGCCACCTCAAGTGAACGGCACAGGAATCGACGTTCAATTGGACAACGAAACGTTCGGATCGCCGCCGCCGGAATTCCTAGATCCGAACGCGAACCCAACCTCGCAGAACATAAGCGTCGATTACAGGTTCAGCGTAGGCCAATTGCCGTTCTGGGCCAAGAAGCAGATAAACACGACGAACGTGGACGAGATCGCGACTCTTGGCTCGAACGTCAGACCGTTGGGTGTCGATCTGCCGAAGGGAAAATGGGCGCAGCGGGTTCAACAGGGAGACGGTATAACGGTGAAGTCCGTGTACGATAGCGACGAAGTTATACCGTTCCCTCCGCCTCGTGGCGCGATCGATTCGGACGGTGGCGGCGGAGGAGGCGGTTCGAAGGACAGCTCGATCGACAGTGGAACCGAGACCAAGTGCAGCAGCGATTATCGCAGGGAAACGATAATTATCAAGAGGGTAAGATCGCACTTGTGTCGGAGATGCTACTATAAGCTGGCAGAGAGGAGGTCGTGTACTAATTTCACACCGTTATCCGCACATTCTCGATATCAATCGCACACTAAATGAACCTTCTAACGAATTAATATATTAATAAATCTTTTCTCTCTCTCTCTCTCTCTCTCTCTCTTATTTAATATCGTTCACGCGACGATCTACGATACTAACAATGGATAACTGGTTCTAGGAAGAGGACGAAACTGTATTTCAACCTTGTCCAGATAGTTACAGAGAATTAGCAGATGAAACGAAACAGGTACTAACTGATTCCCAGTAACAAAATAATTATAGTAATATTTTGGTATCCAGTGCGCGTGATTAGTGTGCGCTTGCGAAACGAGCAAGCTGTGCGCTTCGAGAAGAGGTCACAACCACGTCTGTGTTCTTGTCACTTATTTTCGTTCGATCAGCTTCTTCTTGCGCTACTCCTTCTTTTTTTCTCCATTTCTCATTTCTTTTTCTTCTTCCCGTTTGCTCGCGATTGTTTTGTGTTTGATTCTATTTTATTTCAACCGGTGACATAGGTGATCGGTGGTAACGTGACTGTAACTAGAGGTAGCAATATCACGGAATTGACGAGACAGTCGAGGAGTCGTCATCATACCGACGACAGCAGTCTTGGCAGCTTTAAATTTGAGGTACATCTCATCAACACCTCGGACACTTGCAACAAAGCATCGTCAAACGAAAGAAACATGTACAGAACACGTTCAGATCCAAGAGCAACCGCCGTTGCTGCACTCGTTTTTTTTTTTTCTTTCCTTCTTTTTATGGCTTTTCTGTTATTTATGTTCGCCGCTGCATTTTTGTCGCAACAATTACGTATCTAACCTTAGACCTTGAAACACACTTGAAATCCACGCTTCGACGAATAACTATAGTTTGTAGACGACACGAGGTAGAAAGATAAAAAGGAACGCTTCCACTTTAAAACGCACGTGTATCGTCTAGGATCACGAGAGTACCGAACATGACGGAGACGTGGAAGATTATTCCGAAGGAGAGAATGGCACGACTGGTTCTGAAAAGTCTCATCACAGGTTGATGTACTATCCTACGCCGGAAGACACGGTGTCGAATCAATTTACCGTAAACGCGATGGACGTGGAAGAGCTTCGAAGGTTAGCCAAAGCTAGATCTATCGCTACGAGAGATTTTCTATACGATTCTATATACGACGAAGCGTGTAATAATTGGGAACGTTGCATGTTTCTTTCATAGATCTCAGAGGAGACAGAAGAAACCTAGGAACGGGGGGGAGAGCGGTCGGACCAGCGAATTAACCGCTTCTGGCAGTCAAGATGACTCGGATTCCGAGGGTGGCGCTTCGACTCCTAGCGCGGAACGAAATCCTTTGTCCATGTTGTCGGAGGCTAGCTCGGAAGGGTTCGATCAGCTGGCGAAACAGAGTCATCGTGAAAAGTACCTTAAAAATGCTTTCGAATCTCTTAGCGGTGCCGAAGAGCCTACGAACAGAACGGCGAAAACGACCAGCATCAGTTCCCAGTTCCATGGAAGGTGCTTGTCGTTCGTTAAGGCGAACAGGTTTCTTCGGAGGTCAGATAAATTTCAAAGCGTGTGTTTACAGACTCAGCGGCGGTGGCGATAACGGCGGTAGTAATAAGATTCGTAACGCGGCTGTGGTGAATGCAACGAAGCAGGCGAGAGGCGACGCGGACGTTGTAAAGAAGCGCGAGGAATTGCAGAGGAGAATAGAAGAAACGAGAAGAAAATTGCAAAGTGTAAGTTGTACCGTGACACGCTTCTGCCGTGCAATTCACACCGGAGCGTTGTGTAATTTGGTTGTCGGTTACAGGTTGGCTACAAGTCGTCGTTGAAAACCAGCCAAAGCATATCCGACTTGAGCAGCCACATACCGGAGAAACACCATCGTTCGAACAGACTGAGCACAGGTAACAAATCTGGTCAACAGACTCAATACTCGAAACCGATTAATCCTTGTAAACCCATGCCGAACCCAAAACCCCCGTTAAAACCTCAGCAACTAATTAACAAAGTGTCGGGTGTGGGGAATGCGCTACCTAAGCTAGATATTCCGACTGAACATTGCTTATCCAAAAGTCCGACTACGTCGTGCATAAGTGACAAGACAAAACCGTCTCTTAGTCGACCGTTAACGTTAACCTTAAAGAAAACTGAAAAGTATAAGCTGTCGCTAAATAAACCGAATCAGTCTTTGCCCGAGTCGCCCGTCTGCGAAGAGCTAAAGCTCTTGAAGGAATTGTGCAAAAAGAACGCTAACCGGTTCGCGAGGTTCGCGCAGAAGAGGAGATCGTGCAGCTACTTTATCGGACTCGACGACAACGAGGAGGACATGGAGAGCATAGCCAAGTCTTTCGAGAGTTTGCCCGCGATGAACGAGCGTAACATCGAGACTCTGAACGACGCCATGGACGACGGGGACGAGGGGAATGGTAATTTTAGCGACGATTCCCTGGAAGGCGACTTCAAGAATCCACCTCGACGATGCGTTAGCGATTATCAGATAAACGTGCACGGCGATCAGCAGGATGTCCATAGAAATTACTCGACTTATCAAACCTTCCCGAAACGAATCCCGACTGGATCCCAAGAAAGTATCCTTTCGGACGCTTCGGTCGAATCTTTCTCCAAAGGAAGCGCGGAGATCTTAGATTACAGTCATTACGACAACGATAGACACTCGAGTGCGAGTTTCTTCCTGTCTCGACGGAAGATGCAGGCTGGTAGAAGCCAGGAGAGCATTCTAACGGACGAGTCCGATTATCAGATGTTTCCGTTGCACGAAAACATCGATCATCGAAGCACCGAAAGTGTCTTAACCGACGACTCTGATTCTCTAGTGAAATCCGCACCTTTGGAGATGCTTTTCGATTCCCATTACAAACGAAAAAGACAGAATTCCGAGACGTACAACGGCAATCCGAACAACGTTGTAGAACAATCGAATAACACTCAGAACACGACCGACGATACGACCTCGTGCCGTGCGGTATTCAGATCGAAATCACTCCAAGACACGCGAATAAATAAAGTGCAAAACGAGAACTACACGGAGGACAACGCGCCACCTACAACATGCATTTACTACGAATTCAACTTTAACGATCAGAACGATACGAACGTCGAAATGAGAATCGGTACTAAATCGGACAATATTTCGCGAAGCAACAGCTTGAAAGTCCCGAAAGAACCGCAATCGATGCTGATACTCAACGATTTCGTGGCCCACAAACCGCCAAAGCCGAAGCGAAATTCTGCTCGAACGCAAAGCATGAGGAACAGAGCTCGTCCAGCGTGGAACAAGTACCTAGACTCGTCGTCGCCTCAGTCGACCCGCGTTAAGTCCACGGATCCTGACGATTACACCGGCAAGACTCACGCGGAAGATAGATCAGCGAGAAGTGACACCGACGTAAAGTCGTCCGACGGGACCACCGAACCTTTGCAACTGTTACAGTCTTCTACTTATTCTTTGCAATCTAACGAGGATAAAGACTCGAAGACCAAGTTCTACAGCTTGCAGACACGTCGGTCGGATAAAACCGCCATGTACGATGCCGGCGGGCCAATGGACAACTTTGCCTTCGATCCCGACGATTCCCCTCATCAGACGAAGAGCTACCAAGCCCACGACATGGCCGAGGATCAGCGAGACTCTCCTCTCGTCGAGAGAGACAGACACTGCTTCTTCGAGAATGAAATCCCAACGAAGGACACGCAAGAAACGTACGACTCGCTGGAACCTAGTGGCACAACTTGCGATCTGCAAATACCCACGATACAGAACACTTCGAACCTGTTAACCACGAACGAACGAATCGATAATCTGGACGCCAGCGTCGATCTGAGGATCACCAGAGCCATCGAGGGAACCGTGAAGCTGCTGTCGAAAGAGTTCGAGAACTTGGTGAGGAGGGAGCAATTCTTGATGAAGGAGAAGTGTCTGCGGATGTCTCATTGCCAAGAGACGAGCGAAAACTTTGCCAAACTAGAGGCCGAGAGGGATGGTAGATTTTGTTCGCTGAGACGGGACATAAGGTTCCATTCCGGGGGTGAGGACAGCGACTGTGCAGACACGTCTGCAATGGACAAGTCGATGATGGAGAGCGGCTCCTCGACGTCTGCCTCGAGCTGCACCAACTCGCCAAAGAGAATGTGGCCGCCAGCCTCGCGCTGCCAAAGCCACATGAAATGGACTAAAACGTTGCCCACCATTAATCAAGCGATACTACCTTCCAAGCATCTTTACGCAGGTACTTACGACCTACGTTACGTAGCACAGTCAGTCTCCTTCTCTATTCTTCTCTCCCTTTTGCATCTTTCGATGTTGAGGAACGAACACTTTACCGCCAATGTCTTTCGCTGCTCGATTGTCGATCTCTCGATGTCTAGAGAGAATGCCAAGGCAACGCGAGAACGGAGATCTTGTAACGAAAGGTACGACGACCACTCGCGAAAGAGGTCGTGGAAAGCATTCTCAGACAGTTGAACCTGTTGTGCAAGAAATACGAGGAATGAATTTAACGATACCTGTCTGAGTTTGTAACGACAGCTGTAAATCGTGCGTGTACACGTCGTTGTACGACACTTTCAGAAGCACGATCACAGAGATATTTCACCGTTCGTTCGTATCTCTATCCTTGTATTTTTTAGTGTGAATGCTGATTTTGTACAGTTACCGATATTGTACGCCTATTATCATCCGCCTACAGATTTTCTTAGTTGGTCATTTTACTTTAAGACGACAGCGATCATGTACTTTTCAGTTTGTACTTCAGCTTTGTTTAAAAATATTTTCTTATTGTTATTTTTTCGTTCTCGCATGACGCGATACGATCGACAGCATGTTTTGTCCTAACGATGTAGTTTCATCCCGCTTCCTTACCCCCACAATTCAACGTTTTACATCCTGTTTTATCGGTTGAAGTTTTGTCCAAGTCGATCGTATACTTGTTATACATATATATATATCAGAAAAACGTACGATCGACTTTTACCTTGAATTTTACACTTATAAGTTTCACGCGTTTAACATTACATTCGGTATTTCTATTTTTCCATAAAAACGCCCCACGGCTAGCAAATCGACTTTTCAAATTCTTGCATTTACTATATTTATTAACTGAAAAAGTCAACAGTGCGTTAATTTATCGTTTCGCATACACGTATTGCTTTTGCAATATGCATGAAATAGAAAACAGCTTATCCCAGTTTTTTAAATTCATAAACTACAAATCACGACATTACACCGTTGCAATCTGTGTTTCATTCAGTTAATCGTGTTATTTCACATTTGAAAGATAGGTCTAGCTATTGTAACATAAGAAAAGACAAGATCGGAGGTAAGTGTCGTTGATAGAAAAGAAAAGAAATAGAACCGATCATACGACAAATACACGAACAAAATGTTCGAGCTAATGAGAAAAAGAAACGTAGCTTAGTGCATGTGTGTGCGTGTTGTTGTCAACAGTTGGCAGTAGTGGGGGGCGAATCTCGTCAAAAGTTTTTGACAGCGAAGAAGAGGGGGGTGGCATGCGACGTGCCTGCTCGCTGAGTGATCTTTCCGTCAGCCCGCCAAATAGGTTACTGCATGGCCCGATACAAGGTACCCTTTCAATGTGTGCCACATCTACGAGGGTCTTTCCAATGTGATTTATATACCTGAATATGTACGTCCAGAATTCGCCGATGTCGGGCCTCTGGCAGAATTTAATCTTTTAAACTTCTCTTTGGAACGACCCCCTTAATACGTAGAATCTTTTATCGATATCGATCGATACTTCGATATTTTGACAATTTTCGAGTGTCGGTGATGCTTGAAGTTGCATACAGGTTGAATTTGAAAGTGTTTCAATGTGAAGTTTGCCGCGGTTTTAGTTGATTTTCGATATTATCGCTGTATTCAAAATATCGAGCAATTTTATTCTTTCTTCCTCTATTATTATGAGAAATATCCATTTGTTTGCCTTTGATATATACGGAACGGAACTTTTTCTACGTGCAATTACTATTTGTTGAGAAATTCAGCCGAAACGTTGAACATGCTGGATTTTCGCTAACGTCCACTAATAGTTTCAGGAAAAGTAGGTAATAAGAACGCGAACGCTTCGACGAGAAGTGGACTGGGAAGTGCAAATAGCGGGAATCAGTCGCGGCACGCTTCCACGAAGAATCATTCTTCTCACATGACAAGAAGCAGCAGCGTTGGCGTTTTAAATCAGGTATAGTTTATGTCGTACGTTATTGTTCTGTTATATACGAGATCGTGAGAAACGTGTAGCTCATTCTAATGCGAATTATTACAGAGCGATTCTGAATCGGATGTTGGTGCCGGAAGCGGAAGGGGATGGAACAACCAGGCAGGAAACAACAGGATTAGCGGATTAATGAGACCAACGATCAGTTCGCAAAACAAGATCAATCATCAAATAAAATCGAGTTCCTCTTCCAATAGTAATTTACCATCTGTTCTTAGAAGGAGGGGCATGCAAGGAGCGTATTCAAGTGGTAAATTATCCATAAAAGTAGCAACACTTTGAATATCTTCCAATGCTTAGGAATAATGCCTTCATTCTGTTCTTTACCAGTAAATCTAAGTCAAGTGGGTAATCAAGAAGATTCGAGCTCGGAGGATACGTCTTCGAACGGAAACGGTGGAAAACCAGCGCTTCCTCCGAGGCCTCGAAGTATCAGTATTGACCATTCTGCTTTTCAATCCACACGTTTCACATTTTTTGCAGCTTAAGTCTACCTGGTACGGCAGTGAGGAGATCCGGATCGTCGACAGTTATAACCAACGGTCGCAACGGAAATAGTACGATAGGGCAGAATGCGAGTAGAATGTCGACAGCTAATCGGAATCAATTAGACCCTAGCCCTCAGGAACTTCCAGTCAAAGATACTGATCGTGCCATCGATGTAGCCAGTGCCGAGTGTAAGTATTACAAACACCTCTTTTTCACTCTCTGTCTCTCTTTCTCTCTTTTGGTTTTTTTCACGATTCACGATCATCTTGTCGCTTTTCAAAGTGTAAGCATGCAAGATTGCAAGAAAGAAAATATTTATCGTGACTGAAAACGTGTTGAAACGTTCTATCGATTGGTATTCATTTTTTATTATTTGATTCCCGTGTAAAAGGCTATCATCTAATAAAAGCTTTACTCTTGCAGTAGGCACGGATAAAACATTAGGTAAACTAAAGACACCTATTGAGAATGCTGTCCTGTGAAAATAATAAATCGTTCAGTGTAATAAAAATTTGTAAGTGATCATGCTATGACAATGCGAAAAACCATTCAGACAGAATCGTTACCAAGTTTTAGTACAGACTAGAATCTAGTCTGTAGGACGCTGTACATAATATATGCTACACATCACATCCAGAATATATTCGAGGGAAACGTAGTAGTGTCGTTGATAACTTGTCGGAACGAAAATAATGTCATTGCATTTACCAACCAAGCTGTGTCGCATTATTTTCGACGTTTCTTCTGCTTTGTATGTTCGATTAATTTTGTGAAAAAGAAATTCTTCACCTTGAGATACCTTTGATAGCTTTTCAAGTTTGTGTATAACAATAGTGTACATATATTTGGAAGTTGTCGTGTCATACCGATCATTGAGAAAGTCACTGGAGGAGCAGTCATAAATCTGTTCTTAATTTAGCTCATCGCATAGACCTCGAGGAAGAACTAGCTACCATCGTTAGAATACTACCCAAGTCTCTCTAGGTCTCGATCACAATAGCATGGTCTCATTACGGATTTTAGAGTCGATGTAACCTGCACGCCTGCACGATTTCATTCATCCCTCTTCCATGTTACCAAGTGGATGATACATGCTCCAAATACAACTTTAAGTCCAATTTTCTCATGTAACATCCGCTTATATTTTGAACGCGCTGTTAACAATCGGAACAATCTTTTCTATCGTACAAAGGTTACATTTGTAATTGTTGATAACGCGTTCCCAAATACAAAACATCCGTGGTCGGAACATTAAAACACATCTACTCTTTACAGTGTCTACGCAACTGTGCAATACGATCGCAGACGAGCTAACACGAACAGCAGACAATGTCGTGCAACTGTACAAACGTTTAACGATAGATAACGAGGACGATCCGTCTCGAGCGAGCATCGACAGGGACACGATGCTGCGCGGTCTCGAATCGTCTGTGAACGAAACGATGCGCACCTTGCGGCTAGTCGTTTCAGGTGGCGACAGCCATAACGAAGGCTCCGCTACGGAAAACGTGGTGATGAACGAAGCAGCCGCGAAATTCCAAGAGTTGCTCGCCGGCCAAGACCAGGGAAAGGTGGTCAATATGATGCAACAGTACTCCGAGTTACTCTTGAACATGATGCAGCAGAGAATGGGAGGGACGCAATCGAGCCATACGTAAAATCCGTCCATCCGCAACAATTCTCCAGGGAGAGAAAACGCACGATCAGGAGATGAAGCTGCGCACGGTGCTCAGGTACCGTATTGCAGCAACACACTCCCTCCTGAACCATTTATCGAGGCACGTGTAGGATCCTGCTTCTTAACTCTATCTTGAACCTTTCGGTGTTTCTAAGACTAGATGTAATTTCACAAGTGTGCAGGATCGAGGATTTCGAGGATGAGCCGTATTTTAATTCACCAATCGGTTGTTTCGTTTGGTAGAGAGGTTGTTGCTGTTATGAAATTTAACGATGTTGATTTTGATTAGTCCTTGGAAAATCAATATAGGAAGTTATCGTTTTTTTCTTTTTCGAAAGCAACGAATCTTTAAGTTTTCCAATTGAACGTGTTTGAATGAGTTTTGTCTTTGAGCGGTAATCGTGTACTGAACGATGCTTTTAGCCAAAGTTCGAAGAATATTTATCAGCAGTTTCGTATAAATGCACGAGATTCGCGGAAAAACGAACGGACTAATAAGAGGCACGCGCCACCTAAAAATGCAGCATTTCGAAATTTTACTATCTCGTTCAGAGCAAAACCAGAGAGAAATGGAAATATATCGACTGCGTGAACTCACTCGTATCTTGAGGCCATACGCCGTGAAATGCCAATTAACTAAAGACTCTTAGATTAGTTCTCAAACAAATATATATTATATATATATTTATCGACTACTGCGCGATACTATATCATAATATTAGTCCTCTTGTTGTGTAACCAAAGGTTGTCTGTACCTACGGTCTAAAAAGGAGCCTCCCTTCCTTCCCCGACGTTTAAAAAGCTTCGACGAAACTGTAACAAAAGTATGCAGTAAGCGATATAAACTTGCCAGTGCGAGGAAAAAGAAAAACAGCGTCTAGTTATTAGTTTACGCATTTAGACGAAAGAAAAAAAAAAAAAAAAACAAGCTTCGCAGACCTATCTTCTTACGTGATCCTCGAGGATAGGTTACGAACGTATGATTTTTGCATCCGGATCGATAATAATCGCGGCGGAATGACACGCGATCGTCTTTTACTAATTTTACTTCACACGAAAGACACGGTAGAATAATTCCTGAACTGAATTGTATCTCGTAAAAATGAAGGGAACACATCCGCGATATAGTTAATTTTTCATCGATAAATTGTTTCGAGCCTAACCTGCGATCGATATACGAGAACTGTGCTACGTAGCGACTGCATATTTTGTCATAGAAATTACAAATATTTTTACACGCGAATAACGTCGAGAGACAAAAAGGCAAAAGTTCCACAAAGCGCCGTTAAACTTATAAACGGGCTTTAACAGGTTTCAAAGGAAGGAATTGCATCGAGGAATCAAAGTATTACGAACACGTATTATTTACAATTTTAACATTTATTACAACAACACCGCGATTCGTTTCTCCGTTCAATAAATCCTAGTTACTTTTCTTAGTATCCTCTGTGTAAAGTTCTCGGATTGTATGTAATGTATAAAACGTGCCATTTAGGTTTAACCAACATCACTTTATGTGTACTCTCTTTCTACGAGAACGTTTTACCGCTTGTTTAGCCGTATCATTAATCTCTTTGTTAATAAACCTGTAACATACGAGTATCTTTAGTATCGTTCGCGCGACGTAGACCTAAAGTTGTTTCACATCGGTTATATAATTTATAGATTACTACGTAAAACAAAACGATCATATAACTAACTGCAATTCAATAGTTACTTTACGGGAATCGTTTCTTTTTCTTCTGCCTTTTTTTTCTTTTTTTTTTTTTTTCATTTTTTATCAATCGTTTTTTCTGATCATGTAATTCTTGCTAGCGCGGCAAACAATTTTTTACGCAGGCGACATTTATTACTCTCGAATAATACGAATCGACACTTTTACCGTTCGTTGTTTCCAATATTTTCCGGCGATTGCGACAACAGCATGTAATATTGAAACGACCGTAGCTATGTATCGTTAGCAAACGCAGGTATCGATTTGCTGAAAATCAAAAATATCACTTATCGCTTGTGGCGTTTACAAATTTATGGGTTACAACACGCGTATCACGACTGCTTGTGTATCACGTTAAACTTTATCGTTTTAAACAAAATCGAGGCCAAACTTCGACTTCAACGGTAAAGGTGTTGATCACGTTTGATACATACATATATACATACGTGTATATATGTATATATCGTTACGTATATTCTAGAGGCTAGAATATTTTATATTCGATGTCAGCATTTTTGTAATACATGAACGTTTAGCGTGTGCAAATCATGGAAGCGGACGTGAAAGATGGAAAAATGCGTCGAATCTCATCTCATACATCTCCTCGTATATTTACCCAGCTTCACGTGGTAATGAACCATTCCAAAATTTCACTCTTTCAGTGTAATAATCATCAAAGACATTTAAATACTTTTAACTAATCGCAAAGATGATTAGTGGCTTTGTATATTGTTGTACTTGTTATATTAAGTATTGTTATGTAATATGTTACTCGTTTCTTAATATGTGTACATATTTATTTTAAAAACTTTTGCAGGAAACAAGACAGTTTGGTAATCGTGAATGCCAAACGTAATAATTTCGTCGTTCAAAGAATGTAACTTTTTAGCACTTTGTTTTGTATATTATGTTAATGATTAATAATATAATAATTCTTACAAACTGAACAAATTTGAGCGTTCTTGTTGAAAAGTCAAATATACGTTCTTTAAGTTTCATTTCCAGAAAACAACACATAACACAAGCTCGAACATATAAAGAATCACGATGGAAAGAACCGTCTCTATACAATAGGAACACTCGCTAAATATACGCATGTGTATAACATCAAATATAGTTTTTAAAATATAACAATCTCATCGTGTAGGACAGTGGAACATAACGTGTGCGGGTATGATCCGTGGAAGACTTGTTCGTAACAATTTTGCATGTCATGTAAATACTGCTGTATATACTGTTATTTTGTCGTGATCATATTTCGCGTGGTGTGTGAAAGCAACAAAACTATATATGAGGAATAATTGTAAGGATGAAAAATGTGACGAGCAGCTTATTTAATTAATTCTCCATGGAAGACTATATTAATCAAATCGTTGGCACTACTGTTGCGAAGTCTCCACGCATTCATCTAATATACACAATTGTTCGCCACTTCGATATTTTTCAGCGTTTATCTGGCATTGGTTTGGCGCAATTCCTCTAGCTGTAACGAAAAATAATAATTTTGAAATTCAAAACGTAATTGGAGTCATTTAATTAACGTAAATAGTACGGAATCTGCTACGAACCTCCTTCTCGTCGTCTACGTCTTCGTCTTCGTCGTCGGATCCGTGAACTGAAGCAGCCGGAGTAGTGTGTCTTGAGGAAGAGGGCGATGGTGGTTCACTGATAGGTCTAGGATAACTGAAACGCCCTACACCACCTTCGGCATATTCAGAAGCTAACTCTGGATAAACGGTCATCAAAGCTTTAATTCTGGCTTGGCGATAATACTGAAACAGTCAACGGTAAATCAAACACCGAGCCAAGGTTTTGTAGGGAATATAGTACTTACGATTCCAAGATTTCTCCAATCCAGAAGATCGCTAAGACGCTCCGTACGATTTCTCTGAATGATACGTTGTCGACGACTCAATCGTGCAAAATCGAACATGTAGTGAGCAAGTTGTTGAACACTGTTTTCTAAACCGATGTATCGCCTATCCACGATATAGATACCGTAACTCATTGGATCAGCTATATGTTCCTGCATGAAACACCCGAAACCAGACAGATTCGTAGTTATACTGGGGATACCCATAACCGTACATTCTGCAGGCGTGTAGCCCCAAGGTTCGTAATATGACGGAAACACTCCCAAGTGGCATCCTCTAACAAACTCTTCGTAATCGAGACCGAATAATGGATTTGTCGATGATAAAAACTCTGGATGGAATACTACCTACGATATGAAATTGATATTAAATGTATATACCCAAGGGATACCTGCATATAACTAAGCGATAGTTGACACAGCAAGGTGTCACGTTACCTTCACTCGATCGTTAACGGTGTTAAAAAGATTGCACCTTCTGATAGAATTTAATACCGGGTCGTTCCAATCATCTACAACATTGTGCGTGGTAACCGGAGGTAATCCATTCCTTTGCAAAGCGTATAAACACCTATGACAAAGAAGAAAAATTTCAATAATACTTCAACTTTAATTGACATCGATATCTAGTAGCATTCAACGCTACCGTTTGATTTTGATGGTATCCTCTTTTTGCAAAAGATCTTGTGCATCGGGCATGCGACCAGAAAGACACAGTTCATACATACGCCTTCCTATTTTCTGTTGTATGTCACTAATTGTATCTCTCAAAGACTTGGTAACCTTTGATAAAGAAAAAAATTACGTGGATACAATTGCTATAATCCCTTGCCGATTTTAGAAGGAAATTATTTTACGTACAGCATGACCTCGCAACGACTCTACGTTAAAATTATTGGTTCGCGCTGGGAAAATTAGAAAAGCCACGACAGTTGTATCGGGTCTGGATGATTTTAAATAATGATTCAGTCTAGCCAAAGCTTCGATAAATATATCAGCACCCTTGTTTCCAAACTCGTAACGTCCAGCAATGAAGAAATACAAAGTTTTATCCAGATCGAAATCGTAATGTCTACAAAGTGATATAAAAGAGATAAATTTAATACGAAAAATAAACATTGCATCAGCCTTGTATCGTTGATACGTACCCGTAAAAATGGCCCCTAACAAATTCGTGTATTTTTTCTTTACTAACAGCATGCAAATTTTGGAATTCGTGCAATGCTGCAAATTTTTTTACGTTCAGCCCGTTTGGCGTAATTATATCAGGTTTCCGTTTCAATAAATGTTCAGCCTCGAAGCCTGTTATGTCCGAAACGGTTGTAAATGTGTGCGCCAAATGCGAGGCTGCGCGTTCCATGCAATATCTATGGTAAATTTGACGTTTCCCTGCCTCCTCGTCGACATTAAACTGCAAATATATAAAATTAATTAATACGTCTTTACGATAGGAAAAAAAAAACTTCGTTTCTATATCTGTAATACCTTATCTAAATTGTTGTAAAAATCAGTCTTTCCAGCACAAAGATATCTTCCAAGAAGAGTGGCATGCGTTGTAAAAACTGTAGCAACATCCACGTGTCTAGTTCTTAATGCAATTAAACCGACACCTGCTTGCCATTCGTGACAATGAACGACTACTCGAGGAGGAACATCGGAATATTCCTCAGCGACTTGTCTGGAATTTCAAAATTCACGTTTCGCGATAGAAAATACGACGCGGAGAAATTACAATTCCATGTAATCTAAAATTTACCTGAATTCCGAAATAAACTGACAAACAAGATAACCGAGAATAACTGCATCGTTGGCTTCAATATCCAGATGAGGAATACCAAGATTGCATGTATTCCATAATTCCTGCTTATATTCGTCCAATTTCCATGCTGCACTTCCAATATCAAAGAGAATGATTTGTGGGTTTCCATCCACTAGCCATGTTCCTGTTACCACCTCAATAAGAGATCTTACTTTTATGGTAATATAAGTTTTACTTGTTCTTAATCTTTAGAAATTTGATCGCAAATAGAATAAAGCAGAGAGTAACTATACAATTCAACTACACGGAGGCAGTTGCCCTTGAATTAATTTTGGTCTTGTGTTTGGATTTGAGCCAAATCATTATTTTTGGCACATAATAAAGTATTTAACTAACTGTAAGATATATCTCTGTTATAGGAACAAATTTGCCTGTATAATATGTCCATACCTTATTACACACTTCCCTTTGTCACTAAACTAAATAATTTAACACTTGACATTTTTTATAATGTCATTTAAACTTACTTTGAATCCCTGATCACGTAAAGTTTGTACAGCTAAATGCAATGGACTATTATGAGGAAAATCTGCCTCTTCAACTTCAGTACGTGCTGAAGTTTCTTTGTATGGACCAATAAGGCAATATTGATCCCCCATCTCTTCTGTCGATACAAATGCTTTGGAACGTATTACCGTGTATATGCCACCAACTAAACAGATGTAGATTAAACACAGTGGTCATAAATTGAACAGTTAATATTATACATTGTGAAATATTGTGTACCTTTGTTGGCAGCTTCCCAAGCAACTTCAAAATTCCATCGATTTTCATGCTGTGCTGAATATCCACGATCCATAAATTCTAATAAATCATTACTACTGTCCATACGGTAAAATCTTCTAGCTCCACGTTCCCTTGACATTCTGCTGGCTGTTTTGCAATCTATATTTGTATGGCATAAATTTAAGTCTGTGAACACTTGCAATGATGCAACATTGTGTTTGAGGGAATTAAGGTGAAGGAGAGAATTTCTACCATTTTACAAATGAAACGTTTTAAACTTTAATTAATAACAATAAAATTTATATTCTTCGTTACAATACTGTGTTGCGAATTGATAAAATAAACGAATTGACCGATAATTTGTTGAATTTTTTAAATTCTCCTTTACGGAAATTTTTCACATGTATCTTACATCTTTTTCGTACGCATGTATTATTTAATAAAAGTAACGGCTGCGCTATTTTTGCTTAAATAATATTAACATTGTTTCTTAAAAAATGTAAAAAGCACGAGACAGAAAATCGTTTATATAATTGAAATCACGATAATATATAACTGGGCATCGATGAAAAAAGACATGCTTCGGTCCACCTTTGAATTAATCGGATTATCGAAACGATTGCTAAATATTCTATTTCAAGACGAAGATCAAGATCAATGAGATACGCGAACAATTTTACGAACAACGCTAAACTTTCCGCAACCAAATCAAGTTCGGCGAGGAAATATCATAATCGAAAGCAGCACGTTGTGTCTTGAATAAGTTTATCGGAGGTCAATGACAGCGAGAAGCAATGCCACTTTTATAAGGGTTTGCCGGTTCCGTTAAATCATGCGGCGAAGAAAGTTTTCTTCCAAGCACCAAGCGAAAACGCGGGCAAGCAGTAATTTTCGAATACGAACAACACACTTACATCCGTTTAAAATAATGCGTCACGATAGAAAAGGGAAGAGATGAGAAGCAAGTGGGTGGGCAGACGAACAGTTCCACGGTCAACCTCGCGTGAAGGTCACCACAAACTACGAAAGGTCACACAAGGGCTGAACGGGGCTCGAGTCGGTTTCTCGGCCTACTGTAAACCCGACGACGAATCTTCGTCGGTTCACTGATAAACACATTGCTTGTATTTTCTTTCGCAACAACAGATGGCACGAGATATCCCAAAGTTTGACCACGTACGAAATCTTCGCGTCGTTGGCTTGCGATCAGCCACCTCGATTCATTACGACGTTGTGTATACGTCCCATCGAGATGCACGCGTACAAAATGCATCCCGATGCAGCTGCTGACGATACTTAATTTTTGGCAATAACACACGTATGTACACGGTGCGAAATTGTCAAATTACGCAAATAACTTTATCTTAGTCAGAAGAGAAAGTTTGGATGGCGCGAATACTTGATGCTTATTGTGCACACGAAAGATTAACCGATTATCATAAGTGTAAAAATGACGATTTGAATTGTAAAGAAAAGTGTAAATATATAATGTAGCGTTACATTATGCTTGCAGTCATTTATAGATAATGACTAAAAATGAAATATGCATCTTTTCGTTAATAAATGGAATACTTTTGTTTAAAACATACTTGAGATTCATTGGAATAAAAAGATTAAAATAGATAGGGAAAAATCAGTGCAACCTGAAAGATTAAAGTCAACGCTATCGATTTGATATTTTAACGATACTTTCCAGAAGGATTAAAAATTATAAAAAAGGATGGATGCACATATTTGCTCTTCTAATATTGATGTTTAGATTAGATTTTTACCGCTCAGTTTCCATAACAACCGACAGTATACGTAGAATTGGTTAGTTGAAAATCTGCTCTTTAGGTGGCTCTGTTTAAGCGCTACATCCTGTACAGCTATAAGTTTCCGTTCTAGAACATGTTCGTGGAAGTTTGAACGCGTTTCTCGAAAGAATTGAAAGAACGTTATTTTGTTGACAGTGCCGAAATAAACACGTGGAAAATCTACGAACATGGCGGTAAATATTGATTACAAGTTGTAATTGTAAATGTTAGCTGATTTTTATTTGCGAAGTATAGTTGATAACTACGTCAGTACTGACACGCTGTTGCCTTGCTTGTACCGGTTAACCTACTACGTATCTACGATAAATTCACGTTTCGAAATACTTGATGATATAAGGATATGTTTTTGTTTACTATACTGCTCTTTGAAATAACTACTACGATCCAATTATAATATAATATTTCGTATTTCTATATTTCGTTTTAGAATTCAAACAAAACAAGTTGTCATGGTAACTTTTGTTTGATCTATTTCTGTCCTTATAGCATTATATACGATATATGTGTAGTATTAACATTGTAATGCTTTTGTTTTAGGCTGTTGCAGCTGCAAAAGTTCAAGAAGTCCGTGAAATTACTAGGATAGAGAGGATTGGAGCACACTCTCACATTAGAGGTTTAGGCTTGGATGATAGCTTAGAACCTCGTCATGTAATATATTAATTTTGCTCAGATTATCATTTTCTTATTTACTGTTACCGACCATGCACAATTATTTAGGTATCGCAAGGAATGGTTGGCCAGCTTATGGCACGGCGTGGTGCTGGTGTTGTCCTTGAGATGATTAAAGAGGGTAAAATAGCTGGGAGAGCTGTCTTGCTGGCGGGCCAGCCTGGCACTGGAAAAACTGCCATTGCTATGGGAATGGCACAAGCTTTGGGAATGGATACTCCATTTACCTCAATGGCAGGCTCTGAGATATACTCGTTGGAAATGAGTAAAACCGAGGCTCTGACCCAAGCTATTAGAAAATCCATCGGCGTAAGGATCAAAGAAGAAACAGAAATAATAGAGGGTGAAGTAGTTGAAATCCAAGTAGATAGACCTGCGACAGGTGTTGGTGCAAAAGTTGGTAAACTGACGCTGAAAACAACGGAGATGGAAACGATCTACGATCTAGGAAACAAAATAATCGATAGTTTAATGAAAGAAAAAGTTAGTAGGAAACGATCGGTACTTATATTTTGTCAGTAGCGTTTTTCGGTTTCTTAAGATACTTGTTTACATCAGGTACAAGCTGGAGACGTAATTACAATCGACAAAGCTACGGGAAAAATAAACAGACTGGGAAGATCGTTCACCAGAGCTCGGGATTACGACGCAACTGGTTCACAAACGCGATTCGTGCAATGTCCCGAGGGTGAATTACAAAAACGCAAAGAGGTGGTACACACGGTAACTTTGCACGAAGTCGATGTTATAAATAGTAGAACCCACGGATTCCTGGCGTTATTTTCCGGCGATACAGGAGAGATTAAGTCCGAAATACGAGATCAAATAAACGCGAAAGTTGCCGAATGGCGCGAGGAGGGAAAGGCAGAAATCGTTCCAGGTGTTTTATTCATCGACGAGGTTCACATGCTCGATATCGAATGTTTCTCGTTCCTGAATCGAGCACTCGAGAACGAAATGGCCCCCGTTGTTATCATGGCTACGAACAGAGGTATTACACGAATCAGGGGAACGAATTACAAAAGTCCCCATGGCATTCCGATAGATTTGCTGGACCGTATGATCATCGTTCCAACGACTCCCTATCAGGAGAAGGAGTTGAAGGAAATTTTAAAGATAAGATGCGAAGAAGAAGACTGTGAAATGGCGGACGACGCTTTAACGGTACTTACCAGAATCGCATTGGAAACGTCGTTGAGATACGCGATTCAATTAATTACAACCGCTTCTCTGGTTAGTCGGCGAAGAAAGAGTACGGAAGTACGTGTGTAACATTGTTCCCCGTATCCTTACATCGTTCGTTTCCATTTTCTACTACGCGAGGCTAAGGTTAATTATTAATTTCAGGTGAATATCGACGACGTGAAGCGCGTTTACTCCCTGTTCCTAGATGAAAACAGGTCTACTCAGTTCCTGAAAGAGTACCAAGATGATTTTATGTTTAACGAAATGCGTGAGTAAATTCACAGATGAATAACCGTGCGATAATCACAATTGTCCTCCGCTTATTACGTTACATTTGTTTCTATTCCAGCCGAAGAACCAATGGAAGTATCGTAACGATAAATAAATAAATAGAAGACTTAAATTTGAACCTTGTTCAATAAAAGTTGGTAATTTCTTTCGTTTCATGGCAATCAGCAACTTCCTTAAAACACTAGATAGGCATAGGTAAATACAGTACATGTAAACGTAACATCAGAAACGACGCGTTATATTTCAAATGAAATAAAATAAAACTTAACAAATTCCGCCTTCGTACACTCTATTGTTTGGCATTAGAGCGTTGAATCCGATCCCACTTGGCGTTATTATCGATAAATTCGTAACGAGAAAAGTAGATAACTAAGTATTTAATCGTCGAGGTAAATTAATTTTTGGCGTGAAGTTTCCGTTACCGCGTGAAACGCAACGTTCGTTTCGAATAAATTCGAGATAGACTTACAATCTACGACATATTGGCATACATGGTCGTACGACACTAAGAGTGTATTTACGTCGCTTCGTCGACACAGGACTTAAAAAACTTTCGTCATCTTGCAATCGGAGGGAGGAGGTCACTTGGTAACTTGTGCGCGCTGTTGCCTACGGTTTTACGTCTTCTTTTCTTGGTTCTTCTTGACTGCGTGGAACAATATCGATCGATCGTTAGATTAAATTTACGCGTGGATGCCTGTAAGCGAACGGCTCGCGTTTTGCTTACTCGTTATCAGTTTCAGTCCACCCTCCGGCTTGAAGGACGACTGAGCCTTTTTATCTTTCGATATAAATCCCAAGCCGTATTCCACTTTGTACACCGGTAGAGGAATCACCGTGGACGAGACTGGCACCATCACTGAAACAACCACGTGAAAAAATATGTGGAACATATTGACGTGGAACAATTGAAACGAATTCGAAAGGAAATTCGTCCGTGCGAGGATGTGGAAGAGGGGTGGTGGATAAAATCGCGGAGCGGGGCGATATCGCGATCTATCAAACGTTCACCTAATGGGGAATATTTGCTTATCGCTTTTAATCGAATATCGATTGGTTAAACAGGCGGTTGCCGGCGTAGGCCGGTTGTTTAATTACTGTCTGTCGATGGACTGTTACCAGTCGAATGAAAATCTCTGTTATTCCGACCGCCTCTCTCTCGTCCCGCCACCACCAAATCTCGATTAAATCCGCCGGCGGGTTATCTCGTTATTCCTTAGGAATATTCGATCGATCGATCGATCGATCGATCGAGTCACCTTTTATTAAAACTGGTGTGAAATAAGGGAGAGACTTTGAAACGCTAACGAAAGATTGCATTTGCATAAGACTGGGAAAAAATGCAAATAGGAGTCTGGGCAAGCGCGAATTCCTAATGCAAAAGCGAAAGGTCAACGCGCGTAGACTGTGAAGGTATTCGGTAATTTCGCCAGCATGCATTGGTATTTACGCGGATTAATTATCATACCAGAAGGCGAGTCAGGAACCGCGTTATGCAGTTTTACAGCGGTGAAACCGATTTATCAGATACCCTTTCAGCAAATTCCCGGGTAAGCGTAAGAAAACGTGAAAGGCAGGCGTCGTTGGATGTCGTCGACTAAACTGCGTTCGAGCAAAGTAGCAAGGACACAATTGGAATATCACACGAATATCTCCGAGATGTCCCCGCGTGGGCGTTCGCCCGATTTACAGATTGCCCTTTTCCAGAAAAAATAGTTTGCTCGAGTGGAAAATTAGAGGGTGCAGGTGAATCGAAAATCGGGCGAAAATAATTCCAGACGAACTTCTTCTCGCCAACGCGTATTAACGTCTCTCCCAATAACTCGATGGTATTAGCTTTATTGCCCACCTCGCGACCCTTTCGCGACCCTTTTCGCGTCTAGTCTACGAAGCTGCAACGAGATCGCGGCCTCGCTATAATCGAAGCCCACGCGGTACACCGACTGACGTCATCGTCCCGTTATTCCCACATGTGAAACGTCGCCTCGAGGAAATTCGGATTTCGAGAGATCGCCCTTTATTTGGTCAAGCAAGGCCAGCGATAGACGACGCTGACGAATCGCCGATATTTCGCCTATTGTCCTCTCGAGCGAGCAACGCTGGTTACACCCGCGACACTCGAAGATTCTCGTTCGAGAAGGAAAAAGAGAGGAAAAGGGCGATCTCGATAGGAAGGAGGCGCGGCGACAATTAAAGTGAAAGTTTTTCACCGGCGAAACGTTGCCGCGCGACCAACATCGGAGAAAGAGAAACTGGAACTTTCGATTTTTTAAGAAGCCTCGACCGTCTGTGCGAAGGTCTGATCGCAGCTGACGTTAGTTAGTTGTAGAAAAAAGGCTGTTCCCGAAGGAGACTTACCCGGCTCGAACACGTTGTCCTGGTTCCTCTTGTATATGGTGGGTTTGCCGTGTGCGACCGCGATCGCGATCGCGATCACCGCGAGGAAAGAAACGAGGAGGGAGGTGGAGAACCGCGACATAGTTGCGGAGCGAGCACGGGCCGATTGACTTGGCGATGTTTGGGCCGGCACTACGCCGAGCAAAGACTAAAGAGGTGAAAACACTTGCTGCCACGAGTGGGGAAAGCCGCGGATAAACAACAGAATTGCCGCTCTCTGGCAGCTCGGAGGTTCGGATTTCTAGTGCAGCCGTGCGCCGCGCGGAACATCTTGGACCGAAAACTGTTTCTCCTTCGAATACTCCGACGGAGACTTGTAAACGTCACACGAGGGATCTCCGTACGCTTTGAAAAAGAGAAAAATACGTCGAGCTCCTTCTTTTCTCTCCCGAGAAGAGGAATCGCGCGAATTAATACGAAGACACGCCCACGACGTGGTAACGGATCGGAGGAGGCAGGGAGCGTGGTGGAGGAACCGCGAAGGAGCGTCAAGGATTTGTATTAATCATTGCCGGTGCTCGTCACCGCTAACGAGCGTAGAACGCGAGCAAAAGGTGTCGCGCTGCCCGGAAAAATCCCATCTCTCTCTATCCGAAACGCATTGTCCGTCGGTATCCGCCGACGTTATAGCGTTAATTACGCCGGTTCGGTTCGGTAGTGGAGCCACAATGGCTCCACAATGGAGTAACAATGGAAACTGGGTTAAAAAGTGAAAGGATCCTCGCTAGTCGCTATTCACGGCAGGTGGCAGGCGGCAGACGGCAGGCGACACCATCGCGGCCTCCCGTTTCCTTTATTTCCCCCGAATCTTTCCTACCTTTTTTTCCGCGAGGAGAGTCGTCAATTTTTTACGCCGCGAGATAAATGAACGATGGAAAGTCCGTTCCCCTTTTCTCTTCCTAACTAGCAAACACTCCTTTTTTGCCTTAATTACCCGGCGTACCTTTCGTTTGCTCCCGAGCGCGACCGCGTCGCGATGCTTATTGCACGCTTCCGCTCGTCTCGCCCGATTAACTTTATTCGCCACCGTGCAAAGACCCGTTTAAAAGGGGCTTTCCCCGCTTTTCCTCGGGGAACAACATTGACGAGTCTTGTAACAAGTGCTTCTACTTCCCTGACAGACTCGCTTGCCAGCGATGGAAACGACCAGGCCGTTGTTAGATATTTTCCACGGTGATTCACAGACCGTTGTCGAGTGAAATCGGTTACGGTTGCTTGGCTCGAGTCACCGAAACGCTAATAAACCTGCTATATTTTCCCCGAAACTTTTCGACACCGCCCTCGTGAAATTTCAATTTCTTCTTCCCGCAGGGACGACGAACGTTTCCGGCTGTTCAAGTTCCAGGAAAGAATCGGTGGTTGCGAAAGTGGAAGAAGGAGATCCCGCGAGCCAGAGCTCGGCAAACATTTGTCGTCGGTGTGTTTTTCTTAGCAACTTCTCCCCCCGCGCCCAGCGAAGCTACGATGCCGACTTGCCGCGCGAATCGGTGGAGATTGTCGGAGGAATCGGCAAGACTAAGCTGAGCGTGAATTGGAAACTGGAACGAGAATAGCCGGGATTGGTTGGAAGGGTGGGACGGTATGCGGAGAGCGAAGGCATGCATAGTGACACATCCGGGTCTTGCCGCGGTGCCAATCTGTTCCGTTGTTGTATCGGTGGAGAATACACGTGAGCCGAAATTATTCCATCCAACGTCCCGAACCAGCGGACGAATGCTTTGCGAAGACAGACAGCCAACCGAAATAGAAGAAAAATACCGCTTTTCAATTTGCACAATCCTACCTTTCGAGAGATGACATCCCGACTTTCATTTTCTCAATCGGTTTATATGTAGTAGAAACGATGGTAATTTCTGCACACGTTGCGCGAGAAACTTGGATTGGAAATGGAACGTGGCTGGAGCAGCGGAGCGTGTCCGAAAAGCGCGTGCACAGGTTTGGAAAGTTTGTCGCGTCTACAAAGGAATCTGCGCGCCTCCCGTTAAGGGAAGGAAACAGCGAGAGAAGAGGGATCGATCGGGATAGAATGATTCATTGGGTAAGTACACGAACGTACGGAATGATGCGCGCGTGTTGTCCGTGAATGCACACGCGAAAATCATTATAGCGAGGGTTCCCTTTGTGCTCGAACGAGCAGAAGGCGTTCAACTTCAGTTCTATACGCCAGACAGAGGCTGGAAATCCACCTTGGTATGTAGTTGGTAATTACATCGACATCTTTAGCAGATCGGAAAATAACCGGTCGGAGGGCGTACCTTCGAAATCCCGGTGCGTTTATTAACTTTTGCCGTCTGTTTGTTGTCAGGCTTCTCGACCTTACCCCGTAAGCGGTCGATAAATTCGTTCGTCATTTTGTATCAAGTCTCTCTAACGAGACTCTCGATGACTGGATAAACGGATCACTCGTAAAGGAGTTACCGCACGATGCAGATTATTTTTACGGTTTTGGAAGCAACGGTGCATTCGTGCACGCTCGTTGGAAACGGCGTAGATAAGGGAGGGAGTCGATTCGACGCTACTTGGACCATTATCGACGACGATCCTCCGGCAACCCCAGGATATGGTACATCACGACCCGCGGAACGGCCAATCGACGCGCGACGGAAGAAATCAGGATCGTTCGCTTCCCTGTATCTTTTCTATTAAGAGAGCCGATAGAAGAATCAACTTTGTCCCGCAATCCCTATCTACGAGCCGTGTGGACAAATTGACCGGGAAGAAGGAGGATCGAAATCGGTCTACAACACTCTTTATCCTACTTTTCGATTGCAACCGAGGATCCTTTACAACTCTCCCAAGCAGAATGTATACAGCTCGTCTGAAATTAGCCGCAGCTTGGAGGCACGCTCGTATTCCGATAGTCCCGTAACGAGCGTCGGGAGTCCTCGCCAACTTCGCCACTCGTGCGGGATATAAAACATCTGGATATTGATTTTCGGTAGCCTAGCCGCGTTTCAAGCGAATTACGCGAAGCAACCGCATCTGGCATCGAGGAAAATCGGTTGACAGCCGACAGTCAAACCGTATCTGGACGGCTCAACGGTCGCAGTCTCCGGTGGGAAAAGGGAATTGGTAGACGATAGACGAGGGGGGCCCGTCCGTGATGAATGCCAATTACAAGGAATTCCTCTGCTAACGAACGCGAATCGCGGCGCAGCGCAGCGATTGTTTTTCGATTAAGGAGAGGAGTCGTTTGATGACGAGACGGAAGCGACTTCTCTCGATCGAGCTGTAGCGGGCTAGCGGAACAGTTGGTTAACGGGTTAGTGGATTGAACAGTAGGGAGGTTTACGATTTCGGGAAATAACGCGTTGCTCTATCGGAGGGACGTGCTCGAATCAATCCAAGCGACGTTTATGGGTCGTGCACCTTTCAAATCTACCAGTTACGACGTCGTACAAGATATCCGGTGCGGCCATTCCTCGCAGATTTTACACGAATGTGCACTCACCGAGGCACAATGGACACCACCACCCCGGTGACTAAGCCGCGTTTCCGGGAGAAAATCTTCTATTCTCCCCCGGTCTTCGACCACCGCTCCTCTCGCGTTGCCGTTCCACCGATCGCTAAGATCGAGTTGCTCGCGGAAACCTTGTGCTCGATTCAGCGTTTCCCGGTGTTAAACGGTAACGCGGCAACCCTTTCAATCGGACCGAACCGAAACGAAAGCTTTCAATTAGGAATGCCAACTCTCGCATTAGTCCGCGTGTTTCGTTACACGCGATCCTGCGATAAATATAAACACGAGGCCGGTAATACACTGCGCTATTTAGCCTTACGGTTCCGGCCGCGGTGGTAACAGCCGTTTCACGCAAATTTCTCTCAAATAGAGCACCGTTATCGCGTATGCCATCGGGCCTGAATACGTGCGGAAACGAGTTCCCTCCGAACAACATTTTCAAACGCACGGTCGTGCGTTTTCGTGAAAGTGGCGGTCGTACGGCATTGATCCTACCGGTACCTAGCCATTTTCCACGGCAAATTATCTGAAATTTAACCGCAAGGTCGATAACTCGCCGGCAATTTCAGTCTGTTGCATCGAGAGAGGAAGAGAGAGGTGTTTGGGAGGGTGGTTAAAAAGGAGAAGCGCGAGGCGAGGCAAACGTACGGGAAAACGAGGTTCGAGTGTAGATTTTCACGAGGTTGACAGCACGCGTGCGCGCGATTACGCGTATCCCTGACAAATAACCGAACGCAGGCATTCTGGCGTCCCCTACGAACAGCTCTAAAGGGGACAGGGATAGAGGACGAAAGGTACACAAAGGGAGGAGCGAGAGTGAAAGAGCAGGGGGACGGTAAGAAGGGTGTACTACCCCTTGCAAGAGCCGAGTCTTACCGCGTTAATTGCAAGTACGTACTTCCCTCGGGGTACCGCAACGGGTATACAGTTCCACCCACCTTGCAGGTTCCACCCCATCCAGTAGGGTTTAAGGGTACGCAGGGATGATTCGCGCACCCCTTTTTCCCTTTTCATGCTCACCCGGCTCCTTTCATTCCTCGCCAGTGGTTAAAATATTAGGATTTCCCCGAGGTCTCGTGCGTTCGTGTTAGGGCTATCGCGTCAACTCCCTCTCTCTCTCTCTCTTCCTCGTTCTCCGGTGACTCGTCAACCGACTCGACGCGACGCGACGCTGCTCCAGCACTCCTTGACGCCCTCGTTCGAAGCAACGGGCCAGGATTCGAATCAAAGCGGAGCCCTTCATTCCGATCGCGACAGCGCCCCTCCAACTCTAATTCCTTCCGGAGGTTTCTTCTTCTCGTCTAAGGTGTAGTCGCGGGAGTCGGCGAAGAAGAGGAGAGGGAGAAAAGCAAGAAGGGTGACAGACGCGAAAGATACCGGAATGTAGAACGTACTAAATTACTTTCATCTCGAGTGCTCGCGTTTTTCTTCCGTGCATATGCCACTTGTTACGCTCCCACGCCTCTAATATTCCAGTTGTTACAAAAACCGGCGTAATTACAAAGAAGGAAGGATAAACGTTCGGGTTTGCGAAACTTTGGTTGTTACTCCCTGAGAATTCAGGAGGGCGCGGGAGAGAAAAACTTATCTCGCTCGCGGCAGAGGGATTAAACGTTGCCGCG